TATGAATGCTCCCACGTCTCCGAACAGCTCTAGTTTACTCGGGAATATCTCAGAGAGAAGGATTATCACAGATTTCTTTGAGGCTGTTTCAAGTCTGTCCTGAAATCACAAGTGTGTTTTCACATCAATAAGGACAATAAAATGATTCACATGATACAAAATAAGTACGGGAAAGACAAAAGTGTTAATAGTCTAGTGGTAAAAAAATGGGGGTAGCGGAATTTTACCCCGAGCAAAATTGACGTCACAACCTAGGGGGTAAAACTCTGGCCGCGAACTTTTGAGCTGCACATCAGTTCAATAAATTAAAGGTTGAATTAAACAAATATTTCACGCTTATGAATTTAATCAGAACACGTCAAATTATAACACCTAGAATGTACGGGCCGGAATTTTATCCCCTTCATGAGGTCAGCTAAAAATATAGGCTACAGCCTGGATTTTTACCCCCGGAATTTTACTTCCTAGCTTGATATAGAAAATAGTGAGAATAATTAATTTTATTCTTTCAGTTTTAATTTGATAGTAAATATTTTATTATTAAGTAGCCTATCTTATTATTAGTAACTTTAACTAATAAAACAGGTTTTGCGTTTTAATTTTGAGATTCTAGTTTGGAGTTCGGTTTTTGGGGCCAACTGTTGGTTATTATGTATCCAAACAAACTTAGTAGCCCATATAAATGATGATTAATTGTTTCAAATATTTCTCTAACGATTTATCATAGGCCTACTCACAATTAAAAAGCGAAACCTGTTTATTTAGTTGAGGTTACAAATTAATTAAGATAGGCTACCTAAAAGTAAGATGTTTACTATTCAATCAAAACTGAAATAAGAAAATTAATTATTCTCACTAATTTCTGTATCTGCTTAGTGAGTAAAATTCCGGCGGATAAAAATCCGGGCCGCACATCTACAGTTGCCTAAACGCTAGTTACATGGACAGGATGTAAAATTCCGGTTTTCATTGCTAATCTAATTTATAACGCTCTGTCTATTTTCATTAGATTCCCAAATCTGTGGGGGCAAAATTCCGCCCGCGAAAAAACTTGAGAGCGCTCAGGTTACTACGTCATAGTGATGTCAGCTTTGCCCAGGGGGTAAAATTCCAGGGGGATAAAATTCCAGTGACCCAAAAAATTCTGCGGACAACTAAGTCTCTGAAAAAGAATGTGTATGACCCGTACTTAGTTAATAATTAAAAAAAATGTATAATACATTTTCTATTGGGGGGTCTAGTATACCCCCGTCCGCGTCGTAAGTAGTGTCTCAGTTTTATTATCATAATTAGTATTAATAACTTTATAAACTTTTATTTATACTTTTGATAGTATTGAAATTTTGTCAAAAAACGTTGTAGTCTATCTGTAAACCAATTGGATGAAAATGTCCAACCATGGAGTCCACTGATCTAACCTCGCAGTGCAAAGGCGGGGTGCACTGTCTGCCTTGGACAAAAATATGTCAAGACGAAATTAAATGTAAAACCTTAAAAAAACCAATGTGCCAGTGAACAAAATATTTGTGAAGTTTGTTTAAAAGGACTTCTAAACCAACCAATGGATGAGGAGTTATAAGGAAAAACACATTATCAAAGAAAAATTTAATTTTTTTATATTTTGTTCAATATTTTCTACAAACTGGGAAATGAAAATTCATGAAATATTTACTGGTTCCATGGTTTTTTACAAATATTACACTTTTGTAAAATAAAAATAATATTGGTTTGCAATAAAAACTTGGTTAACTACGATTTCCCCCTCTTTAACAACACGATTATGTTTCATCATGAAACAAGTTAAGGGTTCAAACTATTATTTTCAAATTAATTAAAGGATATGGTAGGATTTTAAAATTTACGTAACAATATGAGAAAATGAATATAGATATTACCATTACGTCTTAAGTTTAAAGAGGTAAATATCAAAATGTTTTTTTGTATATAACCAATAACCAAATAACCATTTTTATTTGGGGGTCCAAGAGAAAAAAAAGAAGAAAAAAATTAGTGCGCGTGCTTAAGGGTTAAGAAAGAAAAGAAAGGTTTCTCTTGGTAATGAGACAAAATATATTCCAAAATTGGAAACATGCATGTGAAGGTTGTAGCATACCGGTAGTTAATGTTTTATTCTCATCACATTTAAAACTAAAGTTTAAAATATCCTTTCTGTTTAACCAAAATGTTGGTTAAATCCGAAAATACCTCCCCCGCTTTATTTCGGTAAAGAGAGGTTCTACTGTATAAATGAGCTGATATTCCGACCTACCTTGAGAGTTGTTAAAACCTTTGTACTTCCTTGCCGCCCCAAGGTTCCCAGAATCAAACCAAAACAGCCTTCAGCACTTGCTCTTTGTATTGCCGACTCTCTATTATTCCTCATTGCCTCGTGATCGTAAGACTCTATTGTCAACACTTTCTCATAGGGATCATATCTGGAACAACACAATTTTAGCGAAATTAAGTGATTTGATTTCATTGATAAATTGTGACACAATCTATCAGACTAGATCTGTCAAAGATGCAGGATTCAAGTATCAAGTATTTAATAACATTTTCAATTACATCTTTACTATAAATTGATGTAGTCCTAATTAGGTATATACGTAAAGATTAATAAAACATATAGCCTACAAATAATTTAAATGTGCATTTATCTTGCTGGACACACTGTGTGAGCCTCCTAAGTTTGAGGTGATCGTATTACTGTGATAGAAATTAATTGAGTTAAATCAACATTTTATTTGTAGGCCTACTTCCAGAAAATCCTAAAACTAGCATAGCTTTCACCTTAAGCCCTACATCTAATCTAAACTCATCTATAATTTTTATTTTATTTTTTTGCTTGTATCTACGACAGTGGCATTTTGAATTAAGTCAATATTACATTACTAGCCTGGTAAGAATGTTTTACCGTGGGATTTTCGTGCGAGTACATTAAAGCTTACTGGGCGAGTAACATACAATACTTTACATCATAATACACAGAATAATTAATACATTTTAAATGCATAACACAATTTATTTAAACATAACATAAATTATAATATTTTCATATTACAGAATATAAAATGGGCCGTTGCAGTTAGCTGTATTTCATCAGTGACTAAGTGCACGGTAAAAGTACCGTGTTAAGGCAACTTTAGGCCTACAGCCTATCAATACGGATGGAAGAAAAGTACCTGTTTTTGTGTAGTATGATGTAAACACTTTTAAAGGGAAAATGATCCAAACCCATTTTTAAAGTTTTGTGGATGTGCCGAAAATCTAACCTGTTCCTCCCACACTGAAGTTCGAGACGCTAACCACTAGTTGAAGATGTAAAGTCACGATTCCGTATGAAGGCGATTTAAATCAGATTGTCAAACTTTACTGAACAGATTTTATAAAACTGGTATATATCCATTTAGAGAATGAAGGGGACATAGATTTTGGACACAGAATTATACACACTTTTTACTAGAGTCAGTCAGACAGAATAGCCTACAGTAATAGTGTTTTAATACAGAACTTTGATTATCCAAATTAATTGGGGATTGGGTCAATTTGGAGATGCAGAAATCGTGACTGTATTAAGGGTTTTAAAGTTAGGTTAGATTAGGAAGTTAAAGTTTAGGTTATAATGAACCAACTCATTAATTGGTTGATAGCTATTCAACCAAAAATAAATGTTGACCAAGCTGTAGTCTATGCCTCTTCAAAATAATTCCTGAACATTCTGTAAATATTCTATTAGGTAAACTTAGGCCTAGTTTTAGTACTTTAGGGTAGGCCTACCTGAAAAATTTGATGTCTGGATTGGCTATCATAGCAGCTTCTAAGTGGAATCTTCCATCACCCAAATATACTAAGCAATCCACATCCACAAGCGTAGGAGCCGTGCAGCCCAGGATTTCACCAGGAGACAAAGGCCTACTCTGGGGAATTGTAATTGAATAGCCGTCTTTCCTTAAATCATTTGCAGTAGCTTGTAGAGTAGCTACAAACTGTATTGTGCTAACAAAGCCTAGTTTTGTGTCATTAGAAAAGTTGGCTTTGATTGTCTCAATAAAATGGAGAGAATCGATTTTTATATCAACAAATATGTATAGAAAGGTAATCCCTGTGGTTCGGTCAACTGGGATCAAACAGCTATGACCATAATGAACAAGTAAATCAGCACCAAGAGCTTTGGCTGTAAAGTCGTCAACACAGCAGGCACCGTAAGTTACATCTCCCATGATAACAGTATCTGCAGCGGTAAACTTTTCAATTATATCACTGATTGTAATTGCAAACATTAATAAGCCCTCTGGCATCTGAAGTGCGACTCGTTTGCATTTGTTCTGTTTGATCCTCCAAATTGTTTTTTGAATTTCAAAGTTGTAGTTTGAGGGTAATAGCTTTATAGCTGCATTGAGTTCAGCGTATTTTAAGATTTCCTCGGGAATTTTTGTTACAGTTTTAATGGGTCTAAAGACTTTTCTTTCTGGTTTAGCTTTTACAACAATAGCACCACTTTCTAGCCCACTGTTTTTTCCTTCAGCCATGATGTAAGTTTAACTTATTTATTTCAGTGAACTGATGAACAATAAAGAATCATCCAATAATTCTTAAAACTAGGTAATTCAGAACTTAGATACCACCCATTCAATTTTGACAAAGTTTATAGACTGCTAGGCAGAATTTTATATTTCACTTTGAGGTTATGCACTTAAACGCTCGCTTCTTAACTCTTAACCCTAAATACAGTAAAATTAAATTAAACATTCGCAGAAGGTATACACTTTTAAATGCTAAACCCCTATAAAAGTACACAATAGTTAAAATTTATAAAACGCTATTTCCTCAACTTGTCTTCATTTCACTGCTTCTAACATTTAACATCATGATGACAACTACAGTACTACAGTACACACACAGTGTAAGTTAGTAGTTAAGTTAATATTAATTCTTATAGCTCAGTGTAGTAGTACTGGAGTGGAGTGGAGAGAGACACACGAAGACAACAATACAGAATACGGAAGAAACGTAGATTAAATTTGTTTGGTTTTTGGTTCAATTCAATTTCAGTAGTTCCAATCAGAGCCAAACTTCCATTTTCCATTGCGATTGCCAAAGTGAAACGTGAAAGAATATAGTGGATTCAGTTATGGGATTATGGGAAATAAGTGAAGTCCAAGTCAGCTGATACCACTGTTGTCTGTCCTGTCAAACAGTCAACCACCTGTTGATTTGATTCACCAACATTATACTACTTGTCAACTCCATCTGTCACAACAAAGAAAGTCAATACAAACATAACCTAGTTATTTTAGTGTGCGTGCGTGTGTCGTAAATAATTGATAATTAATAGTTCACCTGTTCAACATTGTTCAAGAAATGGGCGATACAGATCAACCTGTGTATCTCAATGAATCCAATGTGTTAAAATACCTCTCCTGGGATGACCTAATTCCAACTATTGAAAATGTTCTCAGTGATATTTCACACAAAGATGAAACTGAAACCATTCAGCCAGCTCGTCTTATAATGCCTATACCACCAAGAGAGGGGTAAGGAAATGAGTTTTTAAGGTTGCTCCAGTGGCATAATAAGTTTTAACTGAGCCCCCCCCCCTCCCTCACAAACTGCTCTTTCTTATTCTTGGCCCACTTATAGAAATATGTGAAAATACATAGGCTAGGCTAGGTAAATGGTATAGTTTGTTAAGTGTAATGGTATATGCAGTGCTTGATTTGCACTGTTTCCCTACCCAAACAAAATCACAACACTAAGTGCGCTCTTTGACAGAGTTTGAATGCAGCGGAACGGAGCAGCTTTCTGGTACTCTCTTTGGGAAAGATAAAAAATATTGGCATAAATAGGAACTAACTTAATCACATTAAATAGGTTACAGTTCCGGCACATCATTTTTTACAAATCAAGCACAGGGTATATGTCCTCCAAATTCTGCATGGTGCAGGAGAACGAAATATTTTTCATTGCATAGCCTATATAGTTTGGCATCCCATTCAAGTTTCCCCCTCCACTAACCCAGACTGCCATAACTTTTTAACCTCTCATTTAGTTTTAAAAATATCGCTGAGTGTGTGATGAGAGTGTTAATTTTTTAAACTACTACTGACAATGAAACAGCTCTATTTGAATCAGTTGAATATTATTTCATAAACCATAGTCTTGTTTTACCTACACAGTACTTAAGTTAGCATATACTACGTTACTTTTTACAGGGCACTATTGTGTATGCCGTCTTTCAGTGGGAAATTGAACACACTGGGGTGTAAAGTTGTGTCTTCATTTAGAAAAAATGCAGAAAAAGGCCTCCCATCAATATTTGGAACTGTGCTGCTTTTAGATGCTGAGACTGGTAAAGTTAAGATGGTAAGCTTTATATTCTGTATTTTTTTCTTCACATTAGTTTACCTTCTTTCAAATTGTTGTCTCACTCATGGTGGAAGTAAATAAGGTGTGCTACTGCGCATCGTAGCCGGCTGCTGGCGGTGCGGGGAGGGGTATCGTGACGTCACCTTGGGGGCAAACAGCCTCGCGACCATATCGAGCAGTGACGCTGCTCTAATAAAATTGTAATTTTTAATAGTAAGAACCGATAAAAATTCCTGAAACTTTGCATAGTCTTGGACTATTAACATAGGATGCTTATGATTTAAATTTTATTAATTTATTTAAAATAAAAACCATTCAACCACCGATCAAACTTCAAACTTTTTCATAGGCCTACTAACACAAAAAAAGTTAGTCGGCTACCAAATCACGTATTATTTGGTCAGGTTTATCAGACCTGCGGGAAAGTTTTAGGAAAAGGTTCTAATCTAACTGTAGTATTGGTTGGATTTCGATAAAATAATTACTTTTTTAGCTACGAAGAATTATATCAAGCGGCAACGGAGCGCGTGCTCAGCTGATGCTACCGTTTATTGGAAAATAAGGCCACGCATTTATTATCCAAAACACTGTAGCTACATGTTATAAGGATATACTTTGTATTCTACATTTTCAATGAAATATGTAATATTAACATGTGACAGATATAATAAGTTTTACATTAAAATGCGTTGCAACATCTTTGTTTTTGTACAAATTAACTCTCTTTGATAACAGTTGCCATAAAATTTGTAGGATCGAAAATGAATAACATTTCCTTAACCAAAAACATAGTTTAATACATTTTGCAATCTTATAAAAATATTTACGACCTGAAAGTAAACATGTAAAAAATTAAACATTTCATCACCTCTAGATTTTTCTAAACTTTTTTAAGTTTCTTTAGAAATTTTCTTTTTTCGCCACTAGCAAAATTGCATTATCTTAGCCTCCTGTTGATTTGTTTGATTTTGATACACTGCACAATGGGGCATTTTTGTAGAAAGATGCGTGCCCTATGGAAAACTGACATCTACTGCAACTCGCGGTGAACACAGAAACGAAAACAAAAAAAACAACACGTGATCATCCCCCGCACACACCCCCGCACACACCCCCGCACACACCCCCGCATCCGAGCCAAAGTTGTGACATAGATAACAACCCCAGTGATATAGGATCCTAGCAGTCGAGTTAACCCTTTGAGTGCCAACGTCCGGGGAACCGGACGTTTTTAAAACGAGCCAAAAGTGCCGACGTCCGGCCGACCGGACGTTTTTAGAACGAGCTAAAAGTGCCAACGTCCGGCTGACCGGACGTTTCGTAATGATCGAACAGTTGTCATAACAACCGAATGGATACTCGGATTCTTTTAACCCATATATTAACATTGAGTCGAAAGTTACTAGATGCGATACATCGATTTTCGTTGGTCGAAATATCGAAAATTCGATTTTTACGAAATTTTAACCTAAAAATCGCCAGATCGCGCTCGGCATTTTTAGCGCGACCTTCGGGAAAAATCATCGGCATTTTTTGAGCGTTACTTTTATTTCTCGCCTGGCACTCTAAGGGTTAAACTGGAATATCAATTTTAATTTTATATTTTAACCTGATTATAAATACAATGTTTAATCACCAACTTATTTTTTAACAGAGTACATTTTATTTTATATACTATGTTAAATACATTCCTTTGCGTTAAAGATAATTTATTATTTAAACCACTATTTGCAAACTTTGGTTTTAGCTAATCAATAACGATTTGCAATGCTTTAAATGCAATTAGGCATCGTTAACCATATTCACAGAGAAGACAATATTATATATTCTCTGTGAACTATTACGAAATAACCCATATTCAAACGGGGAAAAACACACTGAAGTCAACAGAACAACAATCTTTCACATAAAAATATAAATACAGGAATAAAAATATCACTAATACTATATTCATTCATGAAACTACATTACTTGTTGGATGGCAATGTGTGATTAATACTTGGCAACTGACTCGACTCGCAGCACGCGCTCCAATCACGCGCTCATATAACTTAGCATATCTCAGGAAATAACGCCTCTAACGGTACATAGTTTGAAGGAAAGTTAAATTTGGATCTTTATCTAAAACTTTCCCGCTGGTCAAATGCTTCTAACCAAATAGTACGTGATTTGGTAGCCGACTAACTTTTACATGTTTAGTTTTAAGAAAGGCCAAGTATAAAGAGTGATTTCACGCTTAAAGTTTTTAACAATTACAAACTATTTTTTCACAACACACATCGTCCACTTATAGTTGATGTCCATGTCAAGTTTCATAATTTTTCCTCAATTCTAACAGTTCAAAATGTTGATGTTTATAGAGCAGTGTCACGCTGAGCTATATACGCGCGCGAAGCGGTTTGCCCCCAAGGTGACGTCACATCGCGATGCGCAGAACGGTCTCAAACTCGTCCGGCTGAATAGCACACCTTATTTACTTTCACCATGGTCTCACTCACTATAATGTATCAGTTTTATCTTAAATAAACCATCAACTGGTGTAAACAGTCCACTGTTACCCTCCCACGACATTTACACGTACACCCTCACATATTAAGTTGAGTAAGAGGTTTTGGGTTGTAGGGTAGTGCAATATTTTCTGTGTTAACATCATGGCTGATAAAAACAGGAATTCTTAATTTGAAACAAAAGCTAATGATTTTCCTGCATTAGATTATGGAAGGAGGCGAGATTACCGGTTGGCGGACGGCAGCAGCGTCCGTGGTCTCTACCAAACATCTCCACCGAGGACAGAAAAATGTTTTAGCCATTCTCGGAGCAGGGGTCCAAGGCAGGATCCATGCACTAGCTATGCAGCATTATTTCAAATTCTCAGAGGTAATAACAAAGACATATCCTTTATTTTTTTTACATAGATAGCAGTTATTGTATCCATTTGTAATCATTTCAATTATTGTACGGTTTGGAATTAATTGTATTTAATTTTTTTAGATTAATCATATAAACTGGTTGTTTTTCCTGTGCTTTTCCCAGGATCGGATCACAGTAGATTGCAATGTTCTGTTTACAGGTTAGGGTGTGGAACAGAACTTATGAGAGAGCCGAGAAACTTTGTAACGAGCTCGGTCCGTGGGCCAAGCCTTACAAGAGCAACGAGGATTGCGTCCGAGGAGCTGATGTGATTGTTACAGCCACTTACGCTAAGGAGCCAATCATCCATGAAGGTGATCTACAAATCGGCGCTCACATCAATGGTGAGGAATTTTGTACCAACTTTACTATATACCGGCTGTGATGTAGTATTGCTCAATGCTGTATACACATTCAACAATTTCCAGTTTGGTTCCACCAGACAATTTACACACTTGTACACAAAATCTTGCCTGTAGTACTTCACTTGTAAAGGCATTTTATTCTCTTGACAAAAATCTTTTTGTCAGATTGTACAATGTTATCCAGATTTACATTTGTTGACGTTGGAAGTATTTGATACGGATCTTTTATGCTGTAAAACTGGCTAATGGAATGTTACTTTACAGTAGTGCTCGCCTAGTAATCAAAAGGTCGCTGGTTTGATCCTGAGGAAAGTGTGTAGCTTTTTTGATGGTTCGAAACTGGACCCAGCTGTCCTTGATCATTGGGCTTCAAAATGGTACTGGGAAACAAAACAGCTCATCTTAGTCTGTAATTTACACATACCATCTCACTCCACTTTCACTCATATTTGGGTAACAATACACACCTATGTGGCGTCCCCATCTCAATTGATAATGATAATAATGGTAGTATAGCCTGTCTAAAGTCAAAGTTACTAATGTGGTATGTATTCTAGTCTCTAGTACATTTATACTCAATGGTTACCTAACACAAATCTTGGCCTGTTACAGCTGTAGGTTTTGGAGTGAACCATCACTGCGAAGTATCCAGGGATGTCTACAACCTCTCGGCTGTGGTTGTAGACAATATGCCTGGAGCCTTGCATGAACTGAGAGAGCTCACGTCTAGTGGAGTCAAACTGCAATGTGAGGTCGGAGAAGTGATCCGCAATGTCACTTCCCTTCCGGATACACGTTTTACAGTTTTCCATTCTATGGGTATGTGTTTGACTTATTCAACGGAATAGCTCTTTTCTTACATGTGAATTAGTTTGATATTTGTTTACTCACTCTTGGACACCGCCTAACCTTTGAGGTATAACCTATTATGTGTGTGGTTTTTAAGTTTTGCTTTTTTTTTGCCTGTTTGGTAAAATTTTACATTTTCTCCTCCGCATGTTGTAGGCTACAGTTTTAGTTATTTATTTTTGCATAATGTGCTCTTTGGACTTTTTACTTGTGAGAATTATGGATATTTACAGGCATGTACTGTGGATGCGTTACTCCCTGGTGTGGATTACTCCAGTATGCACGTTCGCACTACTGTGTAGTACAACTATCTGTGGTACTATCCGTGATAATTAAACCAATTTGTTAATTACAAGGGTAAAATGTGGTTTGGATTCCACTATAAACTGTAGGTCCCTTAGTTGCCATTGGCTGCTTAGGCTATTAATTAACAGCTGTGACTAAGGAATATGTCGGTCTTTGTCATTAACAAGACTACAGCAAGTTTGTGCCACTCATCCTCATTCATACTTGGTTTAAAATACCTACATTCGTATGGTCACCATTTCAGAATAAATTAAAAAAAGTCAAGAGGAAATGCGTCTCTGTTTTAGTTAGACTCAATCTATGCATTAAAATTAAGACTGTTGTGTGTGCATGTTTATTTAATTTATGTATATAGGCCAGTTTTAATATTTTTATACTTCGTTCTCAATATTCAGGCGGTTTTAGGGGAGGAAACCTATCCCCTCCACTTGACCCTTACCTTTAAAATAATAGCTCAACAGCTAATTATGCAACATATAATAAATACAACAAAAGTGGTGGGGGAACTTCCCCTGAAACCGCCTAAATATTGTGAATGAAGTATAGCACTATAATTAATTACTAAGTGATGTTGGCAAGACTGTTTATGACAGTTCAAACATCAGTTTTTTAATGGTTCTCGTATAGCTTCATACTGAAGAACCTCCATTGTAGGCTCAAATAAACTTAATAATGTTTCACACTTTTTTTGTATGCTGTCAACTGCCTGAAACTCTTTTTCCCGAGTATATTAGTTGTGTATCCATTCAGCCTTAAGAGACATTTTAAATCGTTTTAATGTCTGTTGTTAACACATCAATACCTTACATCGTACTGCCAGTTTTTTTTAGTCAAATGTTTATATTTATTGTGTTTTTAGGAATGTCCCTCGAAGATGTTGCAGTCGCACAGCTAGTGTATAGTAAATATATGGAAGAAAATGGGAAATAGTAATGGTGTTACATTAACAACAAACACCCTGGGACGGTGAATTTTCTAAATAATTTGATCACAAACGTCCAGAATATTACTATAAGTACCGTCCACTAAGGTTAGCTGGCTGTGGTAAGTAGAAAAAATAAAGAAGGTGGAGCACCGGAGAAAAGACAAAATCAAATATTGCATCATGCAACTAAGCAAATTAATCCCAGAGTAATCACAAGGCTTGGAAAAGGCAGCACTGAGACATAAAGCAACTGTTAATTATAACTGCTTTTTAATATGACACAGTAACTTAATTCTAAACCAAGTAAATTAAGGATCAACAAGAGATAGTTTCTATTGACAGCAACATAAATTACGTTAACTACATATCTCACCATCCAGAAAAGAAAACAGAACCCTAATGTACAGGGAGTGTAGCTAATGTGATGTATATTAAATGGCTATGATTTGTCTTTTTGTTTGTATGTGATTTTATTTGTTTGGTAATGAAAGTTTCTGAATTGTTAATTTTAAGAAAAAAGGTACCTACTTACAACTACATTCTTAAGTAGACAAACCAATATATTTACTACTTAATCACACTCTATTCACTCAAACAAGAATATTCAAATATATATACACAAGCCAGCAAGCAAACCTTGCTCAAATTAAAGTATTTGATCATAAAATAACCTTACCAAACCTTAGGAAACACTCCCATGGTCAAGGAAAATACAAGCAAGTGTAACACGCCAAGGACAAGACAGTAATAATGTAGTTGATACTTTAAATGAAGGGGGCAAACTTGAACTGTAGATAAAATGTATTAAAAACTTTTACTCACCAGACGAACTCGAAAACCACCCCGAAGATCAAATTGAATGAAAAAACTGTTGAAAAGTTTTGATTATAAAAATGCAAGCAACTTAATTGATATCAGAAATCACTCTGAATCTTTTGCTATGGGTTTGATAAAAAATAATTTTATTGTTGAAATCCTAAAGAGTTGGTGAGCACTACCTTGGTTCATATTTATTACTATATAAAACGCTATTTCAGTGTTAAATATTTTCCACATTTTAGCTGTATAGTGTAAAAGGCATGAGTAAAAATCTTTCCTTTAATTTAATTTTTTAATGCAGGAGTGATTTACAAATTGCAATTAAATTAGTAAGTTTAGTTAAATTTTAAACAGTTATAGAAGCTAATACTGTTCCATACACAGCACAAGAATAAAAACTATTTTTAATAAAGAATATCTGACAAATTATGCCTCTCATTTTCAAAATTGATGCCTTATTAGTAGAAGCTGGTGAAAACAAATACATATTTAAAATCAACAGTTTTTTTTCTCTGTGGTAATTTTGTCTGTTTATAACTTGGTATCGCCTTTGACTATTAATACAACTTCAGTATCCAATAGTCAATATGGTTCCTTGAAATCCCAGCTTAAACGGGCAGCTGGTTGCCCTGATTTATCAAAAGGTCGGACTGTCGAGAGACCATAAAGTACCATAAGTAAAGCTAGAGTAGAGTGAACTTTAGTTATTTGTAGACAGCCAGACGCTTTGTCGGGAAAGTTTGGCAAGATGTGTTTATTTGAGTTCTGCGTTTTTGTCATCACTTGCCAGTCTTCTGGTAATAAGGGGCGTTTGGTGCAATAATCGTATAATAGGAACAGTACTAATTATTTATATTTGTTCAGTACGATATAGAATAGTTCTATGTTATACTGTTCTTTAATATGAAACTAAATTATACTAATATTTAAGACCATGATTTTTTTGATGGAGAGAATCAGCCAGCTCAAATTATCAAGGGACTAATAACTAATATCAATGATTATTAATGAAAACTATATAATCTTGTCATAAGTTTTAATTGGTTGGTGGGGGAGGACTGAGTGACTGAACAGCTAAAAAGTGTGCTCTCTTATTTTTGCATAAAAATAGTGGTGTTTTTCAGCTTGTTTGAGTTGTGATTTATACCAAAGTGTTAAGTTTTCTATCAGGTGTAAAAGTATGTGAGTAGACATTACTATATCAAAAAATTCAAAGAGATAATAAGGGTTTTACAAAATATTTTTCCTACAGTTACCTAACCATGTACATGTTCTCTCACTGATTTGAGAAAGCAAAGTGGCCAATTCGCTCATCAGTGAGACAATGTTAACATTGTCTCACTCTAATTACTTTGTCTCACTCCAGATTTGCAACGTGAAGGCACTAAATAGTGAGCGCGTAACATGCAGGCAACGTCGTATGCGCGCGAAATACGTTGGCAGCACTGGCTGTAAATCAGCTGGTCAGCTGTTGTACTGTTGTACAACAGTATGTACAACAGTTGTATTTGTCACTTCACGTTAAATGTTATATTAAAAGTTCACTTCTGTGTAAAAATAGGTTATGTTTATTAAAAAATTTATTTATTTTCTGGTAACTGTAGGAAAAGTATAATGTGCAACTCGAGTTCAAAGTACAATTGCCTCACTCGAGAAACCATTCCTCACTCGCCTACGGCTCGTGAGTAAGGATTTCTCTCGAGTGAGTCAATTGCTCACTTTTCTCACTAGTTGCACAAATAACTATTACCTTGAACTACAGGTATATTTCCTGTATCATAATTAACTGGACAGAGATAAGGAGTCCTGACCTCTGGACTATAGATAACAAGCTGGTGGTCCTTGGGACCACTATAAATGATTATCAGTTTGTTTACCAACAATCTTTACTTCCTAGACTGGAATTGATATTTGGGACACTGATATTTGGTAAATTTAGTTTAAATTGTTAATTAATTTGGTTTCTGACAACTGATTACTTTAAGATTTGCATTTTACTCTAGATTTACTGCAGCAATAAAATACAACTAACAGTATTGAAAATATTCATCAGGTTTAAAAATAAAAATCAGAACTAAAGCTACTAAGTATCCATGTAAAGAATGTATGAAAAATGTCGGTAAGTCCAGTAAAGCAGTGTTATGTCGGGGATTATGTTCACAGTGGTACCATTTAAAGTGCACTTCACTTTCTGAGGAAGATTTTCAAAATCTGGCTAAATCAAATAAAAAATGGATCTGTGAAAAATGTGTCTCTCTTGATGTTACACTGGGACTCGAAAGGGAAGTTACAGACATTAATAAAGATTTAACACAGGAACTTGAAACACAGAATGCGATCATTAAAACACTAAATGAGGATTTAAGCGAGGCTAACATAATAGCAAAACAGCTAAAGAGCCATAACTTTCAGCTTGAAACTATGTTAATAAAAAAAGAGGAAACTATAATAATGCTAGAAAGAAAGATAGAACTATTAAGTGTTGAAACTAAAAACGACTCTAACAGACTGCGAGCTTTGAGATCCAATGCAGTGGATCTGCAACATAGCCGCCCTCTTACATACTGCACCCCTGTTTCTGGGGATAAAACAAACAGTAGATGGAGTTCTGAAAAAAATAAAAACAAATCCTTTGCTATGGCTGTTAAGGGAAATAACTTGTCTAGGGTAAATTCTGATAAACAGACTAAAAACATGAAACCCAGTTTTATACAAAACCGTTTTGAAGTTTTAAGTATTGATGAGGAGGAAACGCCTGACGTCACAATTGCTGCAATACATAATGTACAAACTGATAAGTGTGAAACAAAAATTAAGAAAATGCTGATCTGTGCTGATAGCCATGGCAGAGATTTAGCTTGGAACATCAACAAATCACAACATGAGTATGAAGCAATAGGCTATGTTAAACCAGGTGGAAGAACAAAACAGGTACTAGATAAGAGGAATATTGAGGAAGCTAGTCTCAACAAAGATGATGCCTTAGTATTACTCTGTGGCACTAATGATGTTGCGAGTAACGAAGCAGATGAAGTTATTGATGGCATTACTTCGACACTGGACACAGTTAAACAGACAAGAGTATTGTTACTGGATTTGCCTAACAGGTATGACTTACCGCACTGGTCTTGTGTTAACAAAGAAGTAAGAAAAACTAACCAGCGATTAAAAGAACTTAGTGAAAAATACAGCAATGTCATCTTGGTGGAAGCGAGCAATGCTGGAAGACATTCGCACACACGTCAGGGTCTTCACCTTAACCAGAAATAACCAGGAAAAAATGGCTCTCTGAAAAGATATCTGAGGCTGTGACGGCAAGGAAGACGGAAAATCATCCAGCGAGTCCAAATGAAGAACAACCTCTCCCACCTGGCACCGAGTCTTTGTTGGGAAACGACTCACCACCAACACTAGACCGTCAACCATAGAACTCTCACCAACAAACTTTAGTATATATCACTGTAATGTCCGGTCAATGAGAAATAAGTTAAATTTAATAGATATTTTTTTAAGTAGTTTAAGATGTGATATTTTAACGATAAATGAGCACTGGTTGTTTGAAGAAGAATCCCGTTTGTATATGCCTGCTGGGTACAACTTGGGTAATTTTTGTGCTAGGGATAACTCACTGAATAGAGGGGGTGGAAGTGTTATTTTTGTAAAGCATGGGATTGAGGTTCAAGCTATAGATGTGAAAAAATTCTATTGTGAGAGCATTTTTGAAGTTACTGCCATTTTGTTACCAAATTATAATGTAGTTGTTTCCACTTTGTATAGAACTCCTGATTCTAATATTAGTATGTTTTTTAATCTATTTGAATCGTTTTTGTTACACTTATGTGGAAAAATTTCTGGGTCGAAGCATATTATTTCAGCTGATTTTAATATAAACATTTTGTCAAAATCACATGAAAGAGAATCATTTTTGAATTAATTGCGATCCTTTGACATGTATTGGTTGAATTAGGAACCGACTAGGGGGGGGGGGGGGGGAATGCATAGATAATATTGTAAGTAATTTTGATAGAAAGAAAACAATTTGTTGTGTAATAGAACCTCATTTATCGGATCATGCCGGGGTATATGCTTAATTTAAAGAAATGTCTGTGGAAAGTTTGATGCCTAACAATGTTTTGACTAAGAAAGTCAGAGAACTGACACCTGAAGCACTTTTCAATTTAAAAAGTAAATTGTCACAAATTGACTGGACGCAGTTATGTAGTATGTAGTAAATTCATATAATGAATGCTGTAGAGTTAAGGAAGTTAAAGTGAAAACTAGAAAAAAGCCTGACTTAAAATGGTAAACACCAGAATTGAAGAGCTTTAAAGTGTATGTAAATGCTTTTTATGATAGATATAAAAATAGCTTGGGCACAGAAAATAAAAATATCTTCAAACAAGAATATAGATGTAAAAAAAAGGTACAAACACAAAGTTAACTATTGCAAAAAAGTTACAAATGAAAAGTACATTTTTAATTCCTCAAATAAATGTAAAGCTGCATGGGCTTTAATAAAAACTGAGTCAAATTGTAAGGTCACTAAGCAAGAAAATTTATTAATTGATTCAGATACTTTTAATGACTATTTTGTTAATATTTTAAGTAGTATAAATGTTGTTAGTGATAAGAAT